TACCCCCCATCCAAACTCTGCCTCCCTGCCAGATGGATTAATGCCAGATGCAAGCTTCTGCACCCTGACACCAAATTCAATCTCAGAGACTGAGTTTTGGGTGAAGCAGAAAAGAATCGCTTTATTGCTTTGCCAGGCAAAGGGGCCATAGTAGACTAATGCCCTCAAAACTGTGTGTTCCGACCTGGAGGGGATAGTGACGAGTTGTACCGTAATGGTTCAATGAGGGCGTGATCAGCTCGTGGACACTCTTCTGAGTGGTTGGTGGTGACGGTAAGTGGGAGTCAGCATCATCAACCTCTGGTTCCAATTTCCGGGGTCTCCGTGATTGTGGGCAGCATGCAGTTAGCTTCTTTCACCTGGTGGAGGTTTCAGTACCTGCAAAACAGCTCAAAGAGACTGTTATGTATATCCTTTGAGGGGGAACCAGGACCCTGCCCCAAGGCTGCAGTATTCTTTCTTGACTATTCCTCCCTTGTCTCTGCATCCCCTCCCTTGCCTAATTAGCAACTGTTTGAACCTGCCCGTTGGAACCCAGGGAACGTCACAGAGGCCAAATAAAGCCTATTTCCTGTAATCAAGAGATGGGGGACAGGGACTTCCCTGGTGGTCCAGTGGCTAAGACTCCACACTCCCAATGCAGGGGGCCAGGGTTTGCTCCCTGGTTAGGGAACTAGACCCCACATGCTGCCACTGAGAGTTCACATGCCGCAACTAAAGATCCCGCATGCTGCAACTAAAGATCCCGCATGCCGCAACTAAAAGATCCTGCATGCCGCAACTAAGACCTGGTGCGGCCAAATAAATAAATATTAAAAAAAAAAAATGGGTGCAGCCCCACAGGGTCCTGTTCAGTTCCAGGATCTAATGAGCTAATCTGACCTCTGTCTTCATAATTCTCCCTTGCCCTCAGGATAAAGCTTTGTGCTGTCATCCACAAGTTTGCATGGTCTGACCCCCTGAATCCCATCTCACACTACTATATCCACTCTCCTACTTCTGGCCCTTTATACATGCTGCTCTCTGTACCTGGAACTCACTTCACCTGATGCACTTGGAACCTTAGATGCCATCTCTCCATGACCCGACTGTTGTAATAATAACAACAGCTTCTACATATTGAGTCAAATGCCAGGCACTGTGCTATTAAACCTATGAGCTGACTTAATACTCCTAGGAGCCCATGAGATACAAAACTTTTTCCAGTTTTACAGCTGAAGACACTGGGCCCAGAGAGGTGATGGCACTTGCCCAAGGATGCACAGCTTAGCTAGCATTGCCTGAATCAGGGCTTGAACTCGGCTCTGTGTGACACTAAAATGGATGTTCAGTATGATCCAGCAATCCCACTTCTGGGTACCTATCCCAAAGAATTGAAATCAGGGGACTTCCCTAGTGCTCCAGTGGGTAAGACTCCACGCTCCCAATGTAGGGGGTCCGGGTTCGATCCCTGGTTGGGGAACTAGATCCCTCATGCATGCCGCAACTAAGAGTCTGCATGCTGCAACTAAGAGATCCCACGTGCCACAACTAAAGATCCCACATGCCTCAACTAAACATGCCACAGCGAAGATCCCAAGCGCCACCACTAAGACCCAGCGCAGCCAAAATAAAAATAAATAAGTAAAATAGATTGATATTCTTAAAAAAATCATTGAAATCAGAATCCCAAAGAAATAATTTGTACTCTCATGTTCACTGTGGCATTATTCACAAAAGCCAAGATAGTGAAACAACCTAAATGTCCATGCACAGATGATTGAAGAAGATGTGGTCCATCCATACAATGGAATATGACTCAGCCTTAAAAAAGAAGGAAACTCTGCCTTATGCAACAACATGGATGAACATGAAGGACATTATATGTTCAGTGAAATAAGCCAGACCCAGAGGGACACGTGCTGCGTGATTCCACTTCTCTGAGGTAGCTAAAAAAGTCAATTCATAGAAACAGAAAGTGGAATGATGGTTGCCAGAGGCTAGCAAGAGGGGGAAATAGGGTGTTGTTGTTCAATCGGTATAAAGTTTCAGTTACACAAGATGAATATGTTTTCGAGATTTGCTGTATAATACTGTGCCTATATGTTGCTGTATTGCGCACCTAAAATCTTGTTAAGAGGGTAGATTGCATGTTAAGTGTCCTTAACACATTTTGTTTTTCTTAAAGAAAGCATGCTCTGCAGACCCATCCCCGCTCCTGCCTCCCCATAGTGCTCCCAACATGTATCCACTCACATGCGAAGCTGGTGCAAGTCTTTGGGCTTCTCCACTTTGCCTCCGTCGTTGGAGATGCATGCTGCTGGGCTGCTGTGGTGGGAGGGGCTAAGGGTTTCTGTTTAGGGGTCTCAGACCCATCCCCAACTTAACACAGGAAGTATGACAGTCTCTGGGATCCCTAAGCCACTAGGAAAGACACTGACAGCCTTGAGGGACTGCATCCTTGGGGACCAGGATGTCTCACAGTTCATTTGGCAGTGTTGCAGGAAGGGGGACCCTTTCCAGGGCCCGAGAGTGGGCTCTCGCCTAACACTCAGAAATGAATTGTCCGAGGAGACACACGTGCTGACAGAGCAAGAGACTTTATTGGGAAGGGGCGCCCGGGTGGAGAGCAGCAGGGTAAGGGAACCCAGAGGACTGCTCTGCCATGTGGCTCACAGTCTTGGGGTTTTATGGTAATGGGATTCGTTTCCAGGTTGTCTGTGGCCAATCATTCTGACTCAGGGTCCTCCCTAGAGGCGCATGCATCACTCAGCCAAGATGGATTCCAGCGAGAAGGATTCTGGGAGGTTGGTAGGACATATGGACTGGCGTCTCCTCTCTCCTTTTGACCTTTCTTGAATTCTGCTTGGTGGTAGCTTGTCAGTTCCGCATTCCTTACCAGGACCTCCTGTTGTAAGAGAACTCATGCAAGTGGTGACTAGGGTTCCTGGCTCGGGCGGGCGGTTTCGGTCAGTGGTTCCCCTAACAGCAGCACAGGACAGAACCCACCCCAGCAGGAAATTCCTGGGAGGACGCTCAAGTTTCTCATGCCCCCGCAAGGGTAGATGCTAGATGCACTGGGTTAAATAGTGTCCCCCACAAAATTCATGTCCTTCCTGGGAGTAGCCCAGCTGTAAGGCAAGGAACCCCAAGGATGGCTGGCAACCCCCAGAAGCTGGAAGAGGCAAGGAAGGATTCTTCCCTAGGGCATTTGGAGCGAGCATGGCCCTACTGAGACCTTGATTTTGGACTTCTGGCCTCCAGAATTGGGAGACAATAAAAGTGTGTTGTTTTGGGCTTCCCTGGTGGCGCAGTTGTTGAGAGTCCGCCTGCCGATGCAGGGGACGCGGGTTCGTGCCCCGGTCCGGGAGGATCCCACGTGCCGCAGAGCGGCTGGGCCCGTGAGCCATGGCCGCTGAGCCTGCGCGTCCGGAACCTGTGCTCCGCAACGGGAGAGGCCACAAGAGTGAGGGGCCCGCGTACCGCAAAAAAAAAAAAAAAAAAAAGTGTGTTGTTTTAAGTCCTCCAGTTTGTGACACTTTGTGAGGGCAGCCCTAGGAAACTAATGCATAGGGTATCTCATGTAACAGGAAGAGGCAAATGGGAAGTCTAGATGGTTCCTCCTTCTCTCTAGGGCTCTGTGGTCTCATCCATACATCCCCACCCATCTTCCTCCTCCCGTCTCTCTCTGCCCATGGGCCCTTCCATGCTTCTCCCTCCCATACACCTTCCAATTCCTGACTAATAAGTTCAGGAATGCCAGGCCTGCCCACATTCCTACCGAGGAGATCTGATTGGCCCAGCTTAAGTCATGTATCCACCCTGACCCAATCAGCTGTGCCAGAGAAGTGGCACCACTTGGTGCCAGGGATGATCACCAAAATTGGAAACAACCAGTGTAGCCAGACGTTGACCAGTCAGATTTGAAGCTGGCCCCTGGACCACACCCTTCCCCCACCAATCCCAGGGGCGCCCCCAGAGTTAACACTTTGGATGCTAGATCACCAGGGCCATCCTAGGGGTCCAGAGGAAGCATGCAGCAAAAGGGGCGGGGAGTAACAGGCATTTGCCAATTAGCGTAGAGGCTAGTTTAATAATTTAATGACCAGTATGGCCACATTCATGGATGTCAGCTCAATGTCAGTTCTGCTCTCTCAGAAGGGATGTGGGGAATGGAACTCTTTGAGAAGAGGTAGAGATGGGTCAGGCAAATGACATTCACCTCCACATCTCCATCTTCATTGCCCATCTCACACCCTCCTGTCTGGCCAGCACAGGCAAAGCTCTCCCACTCTCCCACTTCTGCCTCACCCCCATCCCTCCTAAGTCCCCATCAAGGTCACCTGCTTTGTGGAGACCTCCCTGTCCACCCCAGCCCCAGAAGCCAAGGTCCAGCTGGTTTATATGGGCCAGTGGGCAGAAGATCTGCGTGGTGGGGAAATTAGGGGATTTGGGAGAACTGGCCAGGACCGTGGGATGCTGGTAAATGTTTAACAACCAGCTCTCAAGGAGTGAAATGAATACCTGTGTTTATTATCAATTTTACTGGCATAAGTGTGTAGCACACAAGCTCCAACAATAAAATATAAGAGACTCTGCATTGCAAATTCCATACAGTCAAAACTGATTCTCACAGAATGCCTTCCTTGATTTTCTCCACTCTTGTACCCAGAGCCAATCTATGCTTGCAAGTGAGAAACAAGTGAGTGGAGGTTGATATTTTCCTTTAGAGACTGAGATGGAACAAAACAATAAAGATGCATGTTCACCCTTCACTTGCTTTACGATGATGTGAGCAACTTCTTTGCTAAATCAGATAGCGGTTTGAAAACACTAGAGAAAGACTTTCTTGATTTTTGGGAGTGCTATTCACAACGTAACAGTTACAGGTAAGAACCACTTAAGTGTAGGGACTTCCCTGGTGGTGCAGTGGTTAAGAATCCGCCTGCCATTGCTAGGGGACACAGGTTCGAGCCCTGGTCCAGGAAGATCCCACATGCCGCGGAGCAACTAAGCCCGTGCGCCCAACTACTGAGCCTGTGTGACACAACTACTAAAGCCTGCATGCCTAGAGCCCGCGCTCCGCAACAAGAGAAGCCACCGCAATGAGAAGGCCGCGCAGTGTAACGAAGAGCAGCCACTGCTCACCGCAACTAGAGAAAGCCCGCGTGCAGCAACGAAGACCCAACGCAGCCAAAGATAAATTTAAAAATAAATAAATAAATAAAAGAAAATAATTTTTTAAAAAAAGAACCACTTAAGTGTAATCTACATGTTGAACATCCTTTTCACCTGCACTTTAAGTATAGACAATCAACAAACAATAAATCAAGCCCCGACTTGTAACATTTGCCACTTCCTGTAGTGTAAATGCTCTCACCGTGGCCGATTTTAACCCATTATTGACCGGGGATGTATTAATGCCACAGGCGTTAGTTCCTGCAAAAATCCCCCGGTCAATAGTGTGTTAAGTTACTAGTGTGGTGACACAGAACACAGAGTTAGCAAGCAGTGTCCTGCAAAATGGCATTATCCAGTATTTCCACCACCAGATACAGTATAGGTAAAATACCTCAAGAGCACAGATAATAGTAACACGGGAATAATAAAATCCCTAAGGCACAGGGGAGTTATATAAATCTCAAGATAACTCACATTGTCTGGTATATAGTAAATGCTCAATATATAGAAGTCGTAACATATATAAATACTTTATTATCTAACATCACGTACCACCTCACACCTTCCCATATGCCCCAGTTACACAGGGTCACACACAGTCACGGTGTCAAGCCAGCGTACTAGACCGTCAGCTCGGCAAAAGCTGGGGGGTTTGTCTTGTCCTATTCATGGCTGTGTCCCCAACACCTAAAACAGTGCCTGATAAAATTTGCATGAATGAGTAAAGCTCACACAGCATAGTTACTTGGACTCCCACAAGCTAGCCCCATGAGTACCATGCGGGGGGGGGGGGGTACTGGGAATGAGTCTCTATTTCTCACATATTAACATAAATAAGGATGGAGGGGAGGTCTTTTTTATTTGATGTTTCTCTAGCCCTGCACAGTGCCTGGCACGGAGCAGAAGCTCAATAAATATAAGTTGAACGGATTAATATAACGTACACTGTCTGAGCTCAGGCTCAGAATAAATACCAAGTGACAGAGGGACCCGGAGAGTCCTGGAAGAGGGGGTCAGCAGCAAGGACCCCGGCCCAGCCCAGTGAGGTAGAGTAGCTAGACCCCATCACCAGGGGCCCCAAGAAAGGAAGGCAAGATTCAGTCTTGGTCCAGAGGGTGGCACCTAGGCCTGGGGGTCACGTCAGCTGTATCAAGGAGAGTCCAGTGGGGACTTGGGTGTTCACATGGAAGAGGCCCAAGACCGTGGCGTCCGCTGAGAGCTGCCAGGCGCGAGGCTCCCGGACCGCGAGGCGCAGGTGGACGCTCAGGCGCTGTCCGGCATCCAGGTGCAGCAGGCCGCTCCGGAAACCAGCTGCTGAGTTCCCCGAGGATGGGGGTGGCAGGTCCAAGGTCAGGGCCAGGGCAGCGGCCCCAGCTTGGAGAGGCCGCAGGTTCAGGGCCACAGAGACGGAGCCGGAGCTGTTGCCGTTGCTGGCCATCGCACGCTTCAGCGCCAAGTGCAAGAAAACATAGTAGACTCCGGCCTGGGCCACCACCACCTCGTGTGTGTGCTTGTCATAGCTCACACCGGGTGCCAGGGTCACACCTGTCATCCCCCGCTCGCTGCACCAGTGCAGGGGCCCTTCGGTCAGCTGCACTGTGGGAGGAAGACGCAGGGCATGCTTAGCATGGGAGCATCACTGGGGGTTGAGGTCGCAGCCCTGGGGAGGGGAGGAGGGGCTCTGAGGGAGAGAGGACAAGAGGGAAAAGTGGGGAGGGGGGTATGAGAAAGGTAAGGGGACTCGGAGAGGGTCTCAGAAAGAGGGGGGGCTGGGGGAGGGGAAGGGGGGATAGAAGAAAGGAAAGGATTCCGAGGGAGGGGGAAGACTCTCTGGAAGAGGGAGATTGAGGAAGTGGAGGGGGACAGACTTCCAGGAACCAGGAGGAGGAGGAAATGTAATGCCAAAAAGGAAGAGGGGGGCTTCCCTGGTGGCGCAGTGGTTGGGAGTCTGCCTGCCAATGCA